TCGCTCGTCGGCGAAGAATCCACGTGGTCGAACTTCCTGCCCGTTCAGGCGTCAGACTCTACACCGCGATCTTTCGGACGTTGTTCGCGGTCTTCGTATCAGACCTTGACCTCCGCCCCCAAAGACGCGAAGTCTGCGGCGTGACCATACGCGGTTTCGGCGAGGAAAATGGGATCGCCTCGCGGAGAGATCGGTAGGCGCCGCTCTAACGACGGGAATCTCGTTTCTGGGAAAACCCGTGTTCCAGTCGTTTCCAACTGTACACGTGTCATACCCCGGGAACCGTGCCCACGCGTTCCATCGCAAACAGGATTAAAACACGCATACGCACACCAGCAACGTTCGACGCGTCCCCAGAATTAATAGGCATTGTCGCAGTATTGATCAGACATCGATCCCGGAGCTTTCCTTTCCACAATACGGTATGATTATACAAAAGCCCATTGTTCAAGCCGTGGAAACGGCGACTTCGAAATTCCCCATCGGCGACGTATTCGTTTTACGATCTTCGAACGGCCACGAAACGAGCTCTGCCGAGTCTCCGCGTTCGTTCGAACGACCTAACGTTTTCACATCAGTACGATTCTACGTGTTTTCTTTCTAAAATCCTTGGAACGCGTATCGGGTCGAGATCCTTGGCCAATTGCGCGGGCAGGAAATCTGCGAGGAGCTTCCAGCGAGCGAACGAGCCAATACGCCTTGGTCTCGGTCCAAGAGGATAATTAATAAGTCCGCAGAGTTTTTCGCCCGGCTGACAATATCGGGAAGCCGGGAGTATTTTTCCTCCGAGTCTCATGGGACGGGAACGTGTCAGAGATAATCCACGAGACCGTCGGAACCTCTGCTCCGCGGAGTAGCTGCCACTGATAAATTTACAATGTTCTCTCTAGGCGCGTCCGACCGAGGAATTTACTTCCTCCATTGTCGCTCGTTCGTTTCCTTTGTCTTAAACGAACGCGATAAATCTGATTGTACACGAGGTTGGGAGACCACTCGGACGTTTCGCTCGGTGGCCGGTTCGGGACTTCCTTCCGGGCTGCGATTCGAACGTCTTCTGGTCCATTAGAGGAATACGTGGCCAGTGAATCTACCGATATCACCGACCGGCACGAAACTCAACGTACACCCCGTACGTTAACAGGAACGCTTTGTTCGGTATAAAGAAAGTGGAGGAGGAAACTCGGTGCATCTAAATATAGAAGTGACCGTCGCGAGGAGCCGTGTAACCTTTAGGCGACTCTCACACCGTGTCGCGACTCTCTGGCATCGATCACCACGCGGTGCATACCGAAACGGAGACAGCCGTGACTGTTGGTTAAATTTGTTACGCGTTCGACTTGTCCTCTCCTCTGTCGATTTCATATCCGTAAGAACGGGCGTGCTATGTCTCTCGATTCCGTTTTCTGATGCAAAGCTTGCCCGTTGCTCGCACTAGTCGGCCGGGAGAAAGGAAAAGAGAGGATTATTAGCCGCGAGTCTCTCGTTACTCGCCACGTAGACGTTCGTTCACCTACGCGTGCCTCTGCTAACTCTGTTCGACCTGTTTACGAGGGAAAAGTATGTTCGGTATCAGAATTTATGATACTGCAGACCTTTTTACGCTCGACAAGGGATTCCTTTCCGTGGATCGATAACGATCGCGTTCTGCGGGAGGCTTATCGGTCGCGCCAGCCGACCCGTGATCATCGTTATCTCCCGCGCGCAATCATTTAATAATGAATCATATCGGAGAACGAGAAAATGGCTCGTCGAAGAGAATCGCGATGGTCGCCGCCGCGCTCACCTCGGGGCGAAATCGTTACCGTAGTAGTGGCTTCTAGACGAAGTCAGAGGGAAGATGCCGAGTATCGATTCTCGGAAACGCTGTATATCTATCGGACAAGCTGCGCTCTCGCGGCCTCGGGTAGCGTCGTCGCGTTTTCGGGGTTCCTGCTGCTGCTCCTCTCGAAAACGGGATCTCGCGATTTTCTCCTTCCTCGAGGCACGTTTCTCAAAGACGCGACGCGATTCGCAATCCGGCGTAGCAAATCGATTTCGTCGAGTCGCAATAAAAAGGGAACCCGGAGGGAGAAAAAGCGAGGAAAAGCAGTGTGTGAGTGGCTTTCTTGCGCGAGCAGTCGGTGGGGATATGGAGACGTCCCTGAGTGGAGCACGGACTACTGGCCCAAGGACGTCTCGGGGCCCAGATTCTCTCCTCTTCTCTTCTCCCTCTCGCCGACTTCCTCTCTCTCTCCTTTTCGCGTCCCCCGCGTTCACCTTTACAAACTTCGTCCCGTGCTTCGTTTTATCGCAGGGCCCGAACCTTTCCTCGGCTTTCCGAGCTTTCGCTCGCCTCTCTTTTCCTCCGACCTTTCCCGCGGACGATCCTCCTCGTTCATCCTTTGACACGCGGATAGGCGAGCATAGGCGAGTCTCCTCGAGCCTTGTGTCCTTCGGCCCGTTGCTGCCCCACTCGGCAGTTAGCAACAGCACGGCGGCTGCCATGGCCGGAAATACCGGGTGTTCGAGTTATACCCAGCACCGTTCGCGGGCCCGGCGAAATGGGTCCGGGGAGCGTAGAATGATTAACGACGGATTGTACGCGCAGTGGCCTCGAAAGGTTCCACCTAAACCCAACCGAGATCGCGCTAAACAGACTGCTTCCAATTTCATAATCTCCAAACGGAATTCAGCATATTTATGGAACACATACGCGTGTATCGGTCAAGCAACAATTTCGTAATACCGAAAACCAGTTTCGAATTTCTTAAGTAATGGACTTTCGGTGTCTGCGAGCCGCGTCGATATTTTCAGTTTTCATCGAGATTGATGGATTGCTTTTGACGAAATGCACAAAATCAGTTCTGTACCGTTGCGCTTCGCGTTTAATTTTCAACCCTGGGAGAAAGAACGTATCCACTGGCGAACGATGATCGTAATTGCGCGATACCGAGCGTCGCCGTCGATCGACTGGAACCGCGTCTTCCTCCTTTTTGTCGCCTTTCCATCGTCCACTCGGTTCGAAATGAAATTTACTCGAAAGCGTGGATCCTCGAGCGCTCTTCATACCCATCGCGATATTTACTGAACAAATTTGCTCGCCGGGTCGCGGCTGCAAAACCGGCAGCAGCGGCTTGTTCGTGCGCAAGAATCTTAGCCTCGTGTTATGAAAAATTCGTCGAGCATACACTCCCATGGATTATAGATGTAATTTCACGCGAAATTTATCTAATCACCCTTTGGCCTGCGATTACACGCCGCACCGCCGTCAGCACGTAGGTGTACGCCCACCGACTGTCGCGTTAAAAATACCTTTCGCGAAAAATTGACGTGTTCATTCGCGAGGCGACGGGGCTCTATATTTAAAACGGGATATTTTCACCAGTTCCGTCGACCGGTCCCTCGAGAGCGAATTCGTTCGGCTCGAGAATTCGAAAAAAGAACCGGAGTCGCTTAAGGATGTATATAGATATATACTGATATAGACTGTTTTTTCGTTTTCTGCAAATAACTCGTGAACTATCGATGCTAGCGAAAAAGTTTTATATAGAAATTGTAGCTCTCGTCGTCAGCTACAAAAGACGTCTGATGCAATCTTCTCGTAGGTCTAACGGTTTAGGAGTAATTCAAGAAAAACGAAATTTTTTGCCAAAAGTTGGCTGATTCGACGGTGGGAGGGTCGGATTTTCTTACGACCTATAAAATGTTAATTAATCATAGTTAACTCGTTAAATATCGAAGTTAGAAGAAAAACAACTTTCATTTGAAGCATTTTTCGAAATTTTGAGGAAAAAAAAAATTTCGATTTTTCCGACAATTTTCCAAGGGGTACCCCTTCAGATTTTGCGAAATTTTCGTTTTTTGCCAATAACTTTTAAACCATTGGAGATACGGGAAAATTGCATAGGACCTTTCTTGTAGAGGACGACGAGATCTACAATTTCCATATAAAAATTCTTCGCTAGCGTTAATAGTTTCCGAGTAATTTGCAAAAAACTGTTTTTCCGTTTTTCGTCAATTACTCGCTAACTATTAACGCTAGCGAAATATTTTTACATGGAAATTGTAGATCTCGTTGTCCTCTACAAGAAAGGTCCTATGCAATTTTCCCGTATCTCCAAGGGTTTAGGAGTTATTGAGGAAAAACGAAAGTTTTTTCCAAAAGTTCGCCGTTTCGACGCTGGGATGGTCTAATTTTGTCAACATCAATAAAATGCCAAATAATCGTACGTAACTCGTTAAATATCGAAGTTAGAAGAAAAATTCATAGAATATTCCTTGTAGAGGACGTTAGTACCTACAACTTATCTTAAATTCATAATTTTTTATTTTTTAGGGTTAAAAGTTTGGAAAACTCACTGACATTTTTCATAAAAAATCATTGGTCTTCCGACGTTTGATATCTTTTTAATTATAGGAAATTCGTTTTTCTAAGGTACATAAATTTTTGGCATTGACTGTGTAGCCAATAATACATCTTTAAAAAAGAGAGAAAGCCTGTTCCTCCTTCGATGTACGAATTGATAATCCGCGCTCGGACTGTTAATAAAACACAATTCGGTTCTGCGAAGAATACGTCACGGCATTGAAAATATCGTCAGTCGATCGCGTGTTTCGTGACGAAGGTCGCGACGCATTTTCGTCACGTTGACGTTATAATACATGCATTGTGTCTGGTACACAGACGCCTGGGCGGAGCTTCTCCGGCTATGCTAACTAGCTGCGAAATGCTACCAACGAAAATATTATTCCGCTTTCCATACTCCGTATACTTAAGCGCGTACGTAAGCGCGGCCGAGGCGTCTGAACCTTTTGTACCCCGTCGGAGGCTGCGAAGTAGCTTGATCCCGCGCGTCGCCAGACGAGCGAAGCAAACCTGTTCCTTTAATCGCCGTGCTGCCAGCCGATTCATTTTTTAATATTTCGCTCAAAGACGAACGCATTTCGCGAACGTAGAATCGGTTCGAACCAGACAAACTCTTCCGACAGATGCTCGATACCACCGATGCGTCATGTTTCAGGAGAAGAATTCTTTCCTGAATTACAACGTGTCCTGCATCCTGACGCTGCCTCCTTACCAACGCCAGGGGTACGGCCGACTGCTGATCGACTTCAGTGAGTACATTTTTCCTAACACTTGGATTGAATCAAGCCTGACTACAGCGAGCGAGTATCTGAGTAACGACGTTTCACATTGAACGTCACTAGATTTTTCCGAATCGTTCTCGCGCCCACTTAGCGTGCGTTCAGCCTTGACGCGAACCGAGATGGGACGATGACGACACCCGAACGAAATCGAAAGTACAGCCGAAATAGGAACCGTGGTTCACACAGTAGGTACCACCGCGGTGTTTTCGTGTCGCGGTCTCTCTTGCGGTCGCCTGCGATCGAAAGGTCCGGCACGCGCCGTCAAAGAGCTCGGTTTTCTGTTGTTAAACGACCGCAGCAGCCGTAGCACGAATTATCGTTACCAACGCCGCCGATTACGAATACAGGGATCTTGCGTTATTCATACAAGAACGGTTCATCAGATTCGTAGGAAGGTGTGACAGAACGGAAGGGAACGAGCGAAGCGTGCGACGTGACTCGGGGGTCGCGCGTAGAGTTGAAAAACCGAGCTCTCGTCATCCCCGTTGGGCCGCGTACACCGCGCCGCGGAGCGTACCGTTGATAATTAAACGTGGGCTTTTTGCCGTGACGTCATTTTCATTGATGCCGACGAGTCGGCGAGGAGTATGGGTCGCGCGTAGGGGTAGCGCCGCGTCAGACGGCGCGAGGGAGGAACGGGGTGGCCGGGCTTGTGGGTCGACGTACTATGCGTCGGCCGCGGCGGGGCCAGGGGTAGGTTTAGCCCTGCCGGGTTTTCCGCAGGGGACGCCGTGGTAGACGGCTACTTGGACTCCGGTGGTGGTAAAACGGTACCAAACCGGCGACGGGTGACGGTGACGGTGGTGGGAAGCGTCGCGGTGGTAGTAGTGGTGACGGATAGTGGAGAGCACGGCATAGGTTGGAGTGGAACGGTTAGCGGAAAGTGCGACGCCCGGCGTCTCGCCGCATCGATCGACCCCCACGGTCGCCCTCTCGCTCGTTCTCTCTCGGTCGGCTCACACACGCGTCCACCGACGTACACGCACAGGGATTCGTCTGGCACGTACGCGGGGTGTGTCTGATGCATCTTGTTCCGTCGAGAAATTCCTAGCGAGAACTCGACGGCCAGACTCCGTGAAAACTCTGGACTCGTCTCTGATCACGTTCGAGAGCCGTCCGTCGGTTTGTTTCCTCGAACGTTTTCGTAGGTACCCGTCGAACCGCACGCGTACGAGAGCTCGTATCGGATTTTAAGTAGCGCCTCATTCATATGTGCGTCGGCTTTATTCTCTTGTTCAGAAGGTCGTACTATACGTCGAGTCGCGCGTGGACCACGTGCTCGCCCGACTCGGCCGGGAAATGTATGTTACGTGAACGTCGATACTGTCATCGAGGGGTCGATGATACACCGATGACCGGCACTCGGACTTTTAACGAATCGCCGCGGTCGGACACACCCTTCGGGGTTCGACGGGGAAACACAAGGAGAGAGAGAGAGAGAGAAACAGACAGACAGGTGGTATATAGGGTAGGGCCCTAGAGCGATTTCCACCTGGTTCGATTGGAAGCAGCGTAGGGCTGGTGATCGTATGACCTCCGGTGACCTCGCCCCACGGGAGCCTCGTGGGTAGAGGATTGGCAGGGCTACCGCGACGCCCTTTTCCTCGTCGTAGGCAGCCGGAGGAGAGGGATGAGAGTCCGCGAAGCCTCCCCGACCGGGCTGCTGTCACGTCGATCCGTCCACCCTGCGCCCCCCTCTCTCGCCAGCTACCGCTTCCTCTTCGGCCCTCGTTGTTCTCTCGTCCTTCTACTCACCGCGCAGCGTTTTCCTCTTGCTCGATTTTCCAACCGCCCTCTCCTTCCCCGGCGAGCATCCACCATCGCCGATCCCGAAAGTCTGCAAACTGAACGGACGCGTAATGAATGCGCCGCTACCTACTACCCGAAGCCATCGCCGCGAGGACGAGTGAGAGAGAGAGAGAGAGAGAGAGACAGAGAGAGAGAGAGTAGTAAAATCGAGTAGACGCGGAAAATTAGAGGAAAAGAGGAACGGTACGGGACGGAGCAGGAGGGCGCGACGAGGTGGTGAAAAAGAATTGGGGGAGGAGGACGGCGGCTGTGAGACAGAGGGTAGACCGTCCTCGCCGCGGAGGGCCGGTCCGAGAGAAGGAGGAAAAGGATGGTCGTTGAACCCCTCAGCCTCCGGGACGTCCTGGAATAATCCCGGCACAGGACCGACGACCGACCGGTCGGCCCTTCTCTCGCGAGCTATACTCTCAGCAAAAATCGTCTCGTCTCCCTTTTTAACCATCGTGCTCCCGACACCTGGCCAAGTTCCCTCCCTTCTGCCTCGTTCCTTTTTCTTTCACCTTTGAACGCAGCCCGGGACAGCGTTATCGTCTCGACCTCGATTATTCGGATAATGAGAATTCCGCGGTTATTTCGGGACCGAGGATGCTTCCGCGAGGACTTCGCTTGGCCACCGCTGGTCGTTGAACTTTACGGCTCCGTAGACCGACATCCACGCGTCTCGGAACGGGTCGTTATCGCAGGGAAAAACGAGGGAAGATAGTTTTATCGCGGTTTTCTCTTCGAATCGCTTCTCGCCGGTCAGAAGGAAAGCTCGTTCCATTGTCCGTCGAGGGCAATTATCGTGGTGTGGTTCCGCGCGCTAAACGGTATCGAGAACCTCCCGGGTGAACTGGAATATTCTCGGATCGATGCTCTCGCGTGTCTTTTTAAGAGTAACGGCACGCCGATGCAGAATCAATACGCCTCGCGCGTGTCCGCTTCTTCTCGCAGATATAACGGATGACCCATAAACGGCGAAATCTGTTTAGCCCGACCCCGATGCAATTTATTTAATTAGTTCATTAGTTCGGGCGAGAAACCTTATCCGGTTCTTCTAAATTCTAATTAACGAGAGGAAGGTTCGAGTCCGATTTTTTTTCTGATACCATCTTCGCAGGATGCGTCCGACGAACGAGGCGTGACGGACGTTCAACCGGACACTGCCGGCGCGCAGTCCTCACCGATTCTTTTTCTCGCGTCGAAATTCTTCGCGATCCGTGCGAAACGTGTTCGCGTTCGACCGATCGACTGCGAACCGGGCGCGAAGTTGAAAATAATTTTCGATACGGCACTGCCGCCGCAGCATTTCATCCTTCGTCGGTCACTGACACCAGAAATAGCTTATAGCGGTGGCGGCGTCGATTCAGGATGGATACGAGCGCACTATTATGTGTGTGCACGTGAACCGAGCGCGCGCACGGTCTCTGTACCTATGCGGCTTCGACGGCTACCACCGGTATCTCGCGGAATTGGAATTTCATAGTCCGTCTAGTGGTCCGTGCACAAGAGCGTAATGCAGTTCCTAAGTAATGAGAGCGTATTACGGAATATTAAATGGTAACGAGGCGAGGGGGTCTCTGTCCACCGTACACGACAAATTCATTTTAATAATGAACTAGCGAGTGCCATTGTCCCTACGCACGTCGACGGGTCAATAATTTCGGATCGATCGACACGTCGAGTTCCCTCGCGTGATCGAGAAAAATGAATTTGAGAATACATGTTGGAGTATTTCAAACGAAACACGTCGGTTTTGTCCAGGTTATTTATTGACGAGGGTGGAGAAAAAGATTGGCTCGCCCGAGAAGCCGCTATCGGATCTGGGCTTGATCTCGTATCGCAGCTACTGGAAGGACGTTTTGCTGCAGTACCTCTGCAACTTTGGGGGCAAGGAACTCTCCATTAAAGGTAACGCAATATCGGGCTCGGCGGAGCCAACACGCCTTCGCACGCTTTTGACCGATTTACGGTAGTCGCGTTATTTTAAGAGCCCGTCGGGCCACTGCGGAGAGGAGAGAAGGAGAACGGTTACCCACGCGACGTTCGAGCTCGTTCGATACCCGTTTTTCCGTATTCTTTTACAGATATCAGCAAGGAGATGGCCATCGACTCGTACGACATTGTTAGCACCCTGCAGGCCCTGGGCATGATGAAGTACTGGAAGGGCAAGCATATCATCCTCAAGAAACAGGTAAGTCGTTAATTTCGAATCAAAAGCTTCGCTTGATTTATAACGACCGGCTCTTACGAGATTGAGTAATTCATAGCCGCATAAATCTATACTATGGATCCCGCGCGAGAACCAATCGTGTATTGTGCCGCGTGTAATTGAACTTTGCCGAGACGTGGCAGAAATTGTAAACGGGAACGATTTCGCGAAATAATGATTGAGAGAGCGAGCGAACGGAATCGCGTCCAGGGAGGAAAAAGGGGAAAAGGTGGAGAACCGTTGAAATAATTTCAGGACGTGATCGACGACTACAAGGAGAGGGTGAAGAGACGAGGACCCGTCTACAAAGAGATCGATCCGGAGTGTCTGAAATGGAACCCCTTCCAGCCTCCCAAGACGCCCTCCGCCTCGAACTAAGGTCTGCAGCAGAAGCTCGGGAATGACGCCGACGTCGCCGTCGACCTTCCCCTCGTCTGTCCTCGTCCCTCACGTTCTCGACCGAGGGCGGCGCTCCATCTCTTTCTACTTGTTCCTCTCGGTCGTCTCCTGGGTTTTTCCACCTTCCAAGCTCCTACGCGTTCTCCTTTTAGCCGTTCTTCTCTCTCTCTCTCTCTCTCTTCCCTTCGTTTGTCGGAAACACTTTTTATTGCTCGATTTCGTGAAAACTCCTTCGAGAAGTTCCCGGACAGCCTTCGGACACCTCCGCGGGACATCGAGGTTAACGAGCGAACGTTGTTTTCACGGTGTTACTGTACCCCCGGAAATCCTACGACCGGTAAGTCCGAGGACGACGAAGTAACTTCGCCGGAATGAATTTTCCCATTTTAGTACAAAACTTTCCTCTGGAAATTCCGTTAGGAACGCGCGGTACTTAGAGCACGTACGTATAGTATAGTCGTTGTTTCGAGAACACGTGAACGAGTGAGAGATACGTTTATTGATCGCGCTAGCCGGCGAACGGTGCACGCCGAGCAAAACGGAAAATTTCGAAAGGCCCGATTGAACGTGAAAATAGCTTGAAAGCTATCGAGTCAAGGTTGAACGGGATCAATTTAAAACCGACACGCCATGTTCGGCCGTCGAGAAAAATTTGGAAAAAAAGTCTGAATATCGGCCACGGATTTAAAGAGAGTTTTACCGGTGATCCCGAATAGAAAACGTAAAAACGTAAAATCCTAAGCTCTAGAAAAGTGAGGAGGTACATGCGGCGGCGATGGTCTACGGTTGCAATACGTTACGCAATAGTGATATAAATTTACTACGTTAATTTATTGAACGAATGTAAGTAAATAAGGACGGAGTGAGCAACGTAATTAGTGATTTTTACGCCGATTGTATATCCTGATCTCTCCGGGGTTAGACGAACAACGTGGATATGTGTTGTACATTGAAATGGAGGCGTGTATGTTACGCATATGTGTATAATAAAAAATTTATTTATATTATTTTAACCTTTGAACGAAGTTCGATACAACGTGTGATTATCGTCGACCCTACCCCTCGATGATTCATCAATTCGACAATGTTTCACAAGTCCACATCTACAATGTTCCACGAGTCTACATTTTAAATCGCAGAATGCTATTTATAGAGAAATACAATTTTTATCGATGAAAACGAACATATACAATGTGGCGCAGGATGATTGGTCTGCGCGCGAGCCAAATAATTGTACAAATATTTTTCCACCTATTTTATCGCCGTCGCTACGGAAAAACAAACGACCCGTCGAACGCTTTGCCCGATTTCCGGAAACTGATTTCCCGCGAGTAATCGCGACACGCGTTTCCGCGAATCCGATCCATTCGATTTTACGCCTCGTTAACCATAGACATTAATTCTGTCGTTCTTCTTCGCCCGAATCGCCATCCGTGAACAATCGATCGAAACGCGGCAAAGGAAACCGGAATTACATTTAATTCAGCGGCTAATCAGACATAGTTTCCACGAGCTGCTTCGATGATTCACACCGGACTTTCCCGTTAACGCAATCATTCCGCTCGAAACCGCCGATAGGAAATGGGTGAAGTAAAAGCCAGACACATTCGTTAGAATGATAATCACTGGTTTATTAACAAATCATGACAAATGGTCCGTAGACCGACTCGAATGAACCAGAAATATCGCATCGAACATTTTTACAAGCGCAGGTCTTTATGTAATCCGTCGGAGCGTCTTTCTAAGGCGCGTTGATACGGTTTTACACGGTCTATTGACTGTGCCGCTTTAATTTCCTTTATGAGCGTCGACGCGTCTTTCACGGACGCCGGTCACACACGTTAGCTGCCGACTGTTTTGTCAATTGCCTTATCTCTCCTTTAACGTTTTCACTGACCAAGCTGACGGCCCGCTGCGCATCGCGTGCGACACATTCGCAATCAAAAACATTCACACCGCCGCGCGAATCACAACGTTTCATTAAAACCGGAATCAGACGTTACAGTAGATTTCTAAGTAATTTGCGGCGAACGCGAGATTCGATTTAATAGTATACTCTCGTTTAGAAGCGACGGAACTTTTAGCTGAAATCGTAGAACTGTCTTGAGACTGCAACTTCATCAAATCGTTTCATACGTCGCAGCGACACGTGCCGTCCAAGTATTAACTTACGCAAAACTATCCGAATCTATTAAAAACGATGTTTGGAAAACGCGTTTCCTACGATCGGCCGAGGTGTTTCCCGTAGTCGCGTACGCATTGCAGTTTCCGTGACTAGAAGTTTACTGACCGAAATAAAACAACGGTAAGCCGTCGTAAATAGGCACTTTTCGACGCTCTGGGGCTTCTACAGGGACCGCGCAAAGAGGCGAATAATTGCGTTACTCCGATTCCTCTTTCTCGTTCTACCTCCATTCCCGTTTCTTCCTCGGTGCGCTGCCACGCGACCCCGCGTAACGTCATTATCCCATTAGTCGGCGACATCACGAGGCAACGGGTTCTCTCCCGTCCAAAGCGAAACGATACTCGTCCACCGCTAACTACGTTTCGGCCTAGTTCCAACAACAGGGCGCCGCCGCTTAACGTCGTCTCAGCCCTTAAATAGAAACAATGGCGAACCATTCGGATTTTAACCGTCAGTACTTTCCAGGAATCGTAGGCGCCAGGTACGATCCTATAAAAAATGCCAAGACCACATGTTACTTACGCACGTTCTGGCTCGTCGCACGCAATCGTTTCTATTCCCTGTAAACGAGGTATCTCTCAAAAGGTCAATCTACACTAACGTCACCGGCATTTAGGGTCTCGGTGGGTCGTAGGGCGTACATTCGGCAACGTAGACAGGGTATAGGAAAAAGCGTGTAAAAGCACGGAGCTCAGAGGCCCACGTTTCACAAAGAATTGGCAGGCGGACTGCCTGCTGTTTAGGGTCCACTACCTGCTTCGAAGGTTCTTTCGCTTTTCCTTATACGCTGTCCTAAAGATTGGTGACGGTGACGTTACGTTAGTGTAGATAGACCTTAAATGAACAAGAACCGCGGTCCGTCGAACGTCGCCGGAGTCCATCGTTCCTTCTAGACGTTTGCCCTTTTCGCGACGTACAAAAGGTAGCAGGGCACAGTCATATGAATTGCGCTCCAACAGGTGCCGGGTATCGAGTTCACCAGAGCACCTGAAGAAGTACAATTAACATGCAGCCTCCACAGTCGTTCCCGCCGGACCTCTTCTCGTTCCGCCTCCTCTCGCCTGCGTGCCTCTCGCGAGCCGGAATTCAACGGTGAAAAAAGCCGGTGATCCAGTTTCGCCGCAGCGCGCGCTACTTCAGGTACCTGACTGACTCGACGTCGACACAGCCCGAAGTACCCGAGTAACGCGTGTTGCGAACGACACGTTTCCTGTCTCAGCACCTGAAAATATACCCTGCGAGACTGTGTTGCGGGTATTCGTCGAAAACGGCTTTGTATTCAGACGGCCGGTTTCTCTCGATTCGGAAAACCGATAATAAATTCTATGAGTAGAGAACGGCACCGTAGGAGATTGACAATGAGTGGAAGATCTCCCGGGGGCTTTCAGCCGGTAGGATTTATATAGGAGAAAAGGGGACTCCGTCGGACAGACGGCGTGCAACCGTGGCAGGTAGCCTGGAGATCTCTAAAATTTCCTCCGCGCGACGTGACCTGAAAGCCGTCTCGAGATATCTCCTTCTAATGTTTCACTGCTTTCGATACACTTTTCGAATTCCTACCGAGACTCGAAAGAGATCTGCACTCAAACGATCAACGGAATCGTTCTCGCGAGCGTTAAAATCTGACGTTCGATTCCCGAAAGGAACTGCCACGCTCGTTACTCGTTTAACACACCGTGGAAACCTGTTACGTACTTGCCATTACGTGTACCGAGACTCGGAAGCGGGGAAAGGCGTAGCGATGGGAACCGGGGCTTTATTTATCCGTGTTTCCATTCGTCACATTCCAATTTTTCTTAAACCGTTGCACAACGTTTCGCACTCGCAGCTATTGAGTAAGTACGTCCGGGTCTGCGTTCCTCCGAATCGCTCATCGAACTTGTCACGTGAACGACGATACCGCCTAGTAACACGACATCGCCTGTCACACGAGTCACCGTTCATCGATACCCGAGAACGATCAATTGATTCACAGAGAGACGGAAGCACCTTTGAATCGAGCAAACTGTCTATGCACAGTTGAAATCCACGATGAACAACCGAGCGGACACTGAGAGAACCGTCGGAACTCCGTTTCACACCGCGCCTCTCCTTGAGAAATACGACGACGGTCAATCGCACCGGACAATCGTGGCGAAACGTGGCCGAAGCGGAGGATCACGCGAAAATCGGATGAACGGTGATATCCGTAGTGCGCGGTAGCCCGACGCATCGTGACATTGAAACTCCTGCTCTCGTTGGTGGAGGTAAAGGAAAGTCTCCCCCCCTCGCTCGGTCTCGGTCCCTCTTTTCCGTTCTTCGACGAGACCAGCGACGATAATAGGCCGGGAAACGTCGACGATCGGCGGGGGCGACGGGCAGTCGAGGACTTGGATGAATCAAAGCGAAGGAGCTACCTAGACGCGAGGGTAGGAGGGAATAGAACCGCGACACAGCGTTGGATCGAGATAAGGGGAAAGGATCGAATGGATTGCGGGCCTCCTGGAGGGGATGAAAGTCGCCCGAGGGGGGATGGTGTAAGAGGGCAAGGTTGCAGACGCCGGCGACCAACGAGGCAGCCGCCGCACCGCGCCGGTTCGACCCTGCCTCCGCACAATGCGGCTCTCCGCGCTTTCTTTCACTTAATCGTCTTATCCGACACTTTTTTACTCCACCGTCAAACGATCGTACGACAATTAGGACAAATCGAACCGTTCCCGTCTCGCTTTCTACGCAGCAGGAGATGCACGCAATTTTTCCAGTCCGACGTAACTGGATTCTGAATGATGAATTCCACTGATCCACCGCGTGGAACCCCGTCCTTTGACGAAATACAGATTTGTTCACCCACACGGATTTTAAACGGCAAATTACGATTCGATAAGAGAAAGAGTCGTTCCAAGAAGAGTGAAATTACAGCAACAAGTATGCACAGAGTAATAAAAACGGGATTTATTTCCGAGAAGCTTCCCACGCTTTTCTCGCGTGCCAACGCAGGCAGAGGAGCCTTTCCTAAGTTTCCCGGTACTCCCGATCAACTCGACGTCGCAGTACGGAATGCAAATACCGCCGCCTCGTGCCTTACGTGTGACGCATTCCATAGTTTGATCCAGACCTCGCCTAATCGTCGGTGCCGAGTGTGTAATAAAGTTGTCACGATGTGCCCCGATAAGCGCGAACTCGGCGGAAAAAAGAGCCGAGTCGGTAGAAATTGCGGTGTTGTTCGCCGATGGATCATTTCCAAGTTCGATATCGACCCTCTGATCGGACACGAAACATTATACGGATAATTGCGGCGATCGCGGATTTCGAACACGCGAATTCTTTCGCCGAGGAAAGCTACTCTCGAGGTTTCTCACTCGTTGCTGCTCGTTTCTAAGGGAGCGGAAACGGGCGTTCGATTGTTAATCAATCAATCGTTGAAACGTGAAAATACCATCAGTCGTCGAATACCTCGATTGGTCGATAGGGAATGCAATCGAGTCCATTGTCAGCCGATTGAATGGCATTTCTGCGATCCCCGATTCCCGTCCCGGCTCCGTCGACGTCAGGAACGCCTGCCACTCCTTCGGACATTGTTACGTACCACCGACGATCTCGGAACGCTCCTGAATCTCGATATCACTGTTCGAATTCGTACGTCGTGCGATCATATCTGACGAAGTACAGAAACTCGTTCGAGACGTTCGTCCCTGTTGAGCTTCGATGAACACGTTTCGGTTTATCCTCCGATGGAACTCGGGGCAAAATGAAATCACCGCCTGGCCACAGGTTGCTCGTTGCGAGGGACGTAAACGAATTGAAATAGCCGAGACCGTAATCGATACGATCGTTTTTCCTCTTTTGTGTCAACGGAA